AATTCCCCAGCCCAGCCCTCCGGCTGGGGGGATTTTGGGGGTGGAGTCCACTCATCTTAAAGTGGCCAAGTTTGGACAACACTGGACTAGACAAAATATGACGCTTTTTTCCTGCAATCATGTCTTTACAATTTCCTATCACCATTCTGAACAGTTAGTAGAATAGAATACTATTCTATAGTACTGCTAATAGAATAGAGGAGCAACAGGGACAAAATCGTTAATATGAATTAAATTTTAACCATAAGCCTGTGTACATGGATTCAAGATGGTTGAACAAAATAAATTGGAAATGGGTAGGAGAACATACATGTTTTAAATTGGCCTCAAAGCATGTTATTTGCTCCTTATTAATGCAATAAACTCAGAATCTATTTATATGCAAGTTTTTATCAAGATTAATGGCAGTAGGGAACTGTGTTAATAAGCTAAAAAAGTAGAGTGTATATGTAAAGCATTCTTGCCTTCTTTTTTTGTATGATTAATTGAATAGTAACATTGTAAACTATTTACATTTATGCTAAAAGATACAGTGGGACAAAAAAGTATTTAGTCAGCCACCAATTGTGCAAGTTCTCCCACTTAAAAAGATGAGAGAGGCCTGTAATTTTCATCATAGGTATACCTCAACTACCCACTTAAAAAGATGAGAGAGGCCTGTAATTTTCATCATAGGTATACCTCAACTACCCACTTAAAAAGATGAGAGAGGCCTGTAATTTTCATCATAGGTATACCTCAACTACCCACTTAAAAAGATGAGAGAGGCCTGTAATTTTCATCATAGGTATACCTCAACTACCCACTTAAAAAGATGAGAGAGGCCTGTAATTTTCATCATAGGTATACCTCAACTACCCACTTAAAAAGATGAGAGAGGCCTGTAATTTTCATCATAGGTATACCTCAACTACCCACTTAAAAAGATGAGAGAGGCCTGTAATTTTCATCATAGGTATACCTCAACTACCCACTTAAAAAGATGAGAGAGGCCTGTAATTTTCATCATAGGTATACCTCAACTACCCACTTAAAAAGATGAGAGAGGCCTGTAATTTTCATCATAGGTATACCTCAACTACCCACTTAAAAAGATGAGAGAGGCCTGTAATTTTCATCATAGGTATACCTCAACTACCCACTTAAAAAGATGAGAGAGGCCTGTAATTTTCATCATAGGTATACCTCAACTACCCACTTAAAAAGATGAGAGAGGCCTGTAATTTTCATCATAGGTATACCTCAACTACCCACTTAAAAAGATGAGAGAGGCCTGTAATTTTCATCATAGGTATACCTCAACTACCCACTTAAAAAGATGAGAGAGGCCTGTAATTTTCATCATAGGTATACCTCAACTACCCACTTAAAAAGATGAGAGAGGCCTGTAATTTTCATCATAGGTATACCTCAACTAGAGAACTTGCACAATTGGTGGCTGACTAAATACTTTTTTGCCCCACTGTAGCTGCGGTTCTGGAGTCAAGTCATTAAAAGGTGCACTTTCTAAGTTTGTATAAATATAGATGAAGGGACATTCCATTCACTTTCTGCCTCCTATATGACTGACTGAAATGTTGGGAGTTTAAAGAGGTCCTACTATTCACCCTTCTTTTAATATTTGACAATGAGTCCTTTAGGCTTCAGCTAGCTTTCTATTAGATCTCCTGGCTTTCTAAGCTAAATACAGATGAACGATATTAGAAATGTGTATGATAGCATTTTCTGCTTGCAAACTGATTATTAGAACCTCTTTTGCAAGTCCTAATAACCCACAAAATGGGCCAGGTTTATTTTACTGATTTTTAAAAAGATTTTGTTTGAATATGCTTTTATTCCGTATGCCCAAAAGATCCTTTTGTACATTTAACTATTAACAATTGCATTTCCCCCTAACAAGATGTCCGGTATACAGCATCAAATTTATACTGGATAAAGTTTCTGTCTTGCTGATGAATTAAACCTAACTTTTAAAACTTGGTTCTTATCCTCCCTCTACAGGCGAATTTGCAGCGTTCAAGTAGCCACAGCATCATTGGCAGCAAATCCACTCTTACTTTTAAAGTCTTGTGTTCCTACAGTTTCTTTTTAGAATATTCAGACTCTCTTCTGCTCCTCTAAACACTGCGGTTTAGAAAAACCATAGTTCTGTACACTTAGATCTGATCAGAAGGGAGCTTCCAGTCCAACATTTGGTGGAAGGGAAAAGCTCTTGTTTGGGACAAGTGCTTTCCGCTGCCTCTGTGTTCACCTCCAACAAAAGTCATGTGCATTTGAAGATCTCTAGTGGCTGCCTGTACTGTTGGCATCATTCCCAGGAGAGAGGGAGGGCCTGCGCTTTGACTTTCTAGTGCTGTGGCATGATGAGGTTGGAACTCCTTTTGCATCATAGGCTTGGGATGATCTGCTGGCCGGCTTTCTCCCTCTAACAACGATCCATCAGAGGCTGAACATCTGATGAGACAGAGCTAATCAAAACAATCATCCTCTGGTTTGATTTTATTTTGCGTGTGTTTTCCTTCCTGGTGTGCTTACTGATCAACGAGATAAGTGCAATGTTTCCTTTTCAATTGAACTTTAGTGTCTGCTCTTTTGATTTCACAAAACAAAAATTCAGTCAGAAGAGTAAATAAGAGTCATTTGAAAAGGAAAGGAGATTCTGCACTTTCCAGAATTGCTTTTACCTCCTATTCAGAGCCATCTTTTTCCCCATCTTTTCCTTTTTTGTACACTTTTGGAAAGGGTTAGGAGCCCTTTTTTGTCGGTCCAGCAACAAATGTTTTTACAAAACTGTAGCAAAGCTCAACATGCGTGGCTTCTTTTCATTTTGTATTGCTAATTTGAATCTGTGTTTTGTGTGTTGAACTTTTTGGGGATGCCCAGAAAGTCTAATACAGACTATGAATAACAAGTGTACCTGTTTTAAAAGGTACAAGATAATGTCAGGTACCTAACGTTTCATAAGCAGACATTCTCAGGTTGAATTGAATACATTTTAAAAATGAAACCCAGCCACAATCTTCCCAAAAATTAGACATTCCAAAAAATGTGCTTTGGTACTTTTTTTTTTTTTAAAAAATAGAACTTTTAATCACGTTAACTCAGCAAACTGTGAATGAACGTTGTGTGCATGAGAGAGAGAAAATGCAGCAAATTGGCTTTAGTGGCAATTTGCTGTTTCTTTTGTTGTTGTTTTCTATAGAAATGGTACTTGCTGGATCAACACCACTTCTCACCTTGCCTATCCTCGCCTTTTCCCATGCAACTACTTTTCTTGCCCTTATTTCGTATCCTTGGTGATTGCATTTTGCTTTTCTCTTTATGCCTTGCCCTTAAATCTAATTTGCAAAATGGTTCCCAGTTCTTATTATTATCCAATAAAGATAAAATGAAATAAAAATCAGATGTTAGGTTACCTGTAGTAGAATTATGAAGCTATATGAATTACGAAGTTAGCAGAATTCTTTGCTGGGTGATTTTCTTTTTTGGAAAAGGGCAATTGTTTGCCCCTGGAAGGGAATCCATAAGAACAGAAGCCTTATTAGTGTATCCTGCCCTGTATTGATAGGTATGAGGCATCCCTGTGCTAGTAGTTTCTAGTGGATGAAATTGGATTATCTGGTGAAAAAGTCAAAATTCAGAGTTCACATTCTGATTCCACAGTTCTGTTACTAGAAAAGCCAAGGGAAAGATGATTTTTCTAGCAAAGGTTTTTTGTAAAACGTGACTTTAAAAAAAATCATATTATTACCTCCATGCTAAAGAAACTATTTTTTTTTTCATTGAACCAAGGTACTTACAGAAATGGGAGCAAGAGGCATAATCAAAATACTGTGTATTCAGACACTAACAGGATAATGAGTGAAATTGCTTGGCACTATTTGTGGGGAATGCATTTCTGGATAAGCATCACTGAAGTGAAGAGACGTAGGAAGTTATAGATGTGTTCTTGGATGACTCCTTTTCACTTCAGTGACTGGGCTGCTTTGGAGAAATTTCCAAAGAATTTATTCAGAACAATGAGATTAAAACAACTTGTGTCATCACACAAAGAGTGTGTGAGGTATGTTACAAATGTAAAGCACAACTTTAATGGTGGTCTGCAGTGATTTTTAACTTTTCAGAATACAGATTCTTTCAAATCTTACCAGTTTCACTTCCCTCCCCACCAGCCCCCAGCATCAGTAATCTGTCCTAGAGGTGAGTATCATATGCAGTATGTTGAAGCATGTACATTGCATTTTGAAGAGAAGAAAAATACAAGAAATCTTTGCTGTCCACTTAAAATCATGCAGAGAAAACAGTAGTAACTCTTTGAAGCCAGTTCTTCTCAGATCACAGTAGTATTTTTTATTTATTATTAGATTTATATCCCACCTTTACTTTGTACAATTCAAGGTGATGTATAGCATGCTGGAAAACAAGAATGCAATTAATTCCATAACTCCCAATATAGACCAGTGTGGATCCTCTGCCAAGAAATGTTCTGTCCACCCATATCCTGTCTGTTGGTGGCGAGTGAAGCCAACATTCTTTCAGGATTCTTTCCTCCTCCTTAGATACTCTGCCTTTCCCAAGGAAAGCTGCCCAATAGTTTATGACTTATGATTTGTGGGGGTTAATTATTAATTATTGGCATGAATAATATCTGTGTTGCTTACATGCCATTAAAAAAAGTCTGAAAAAATGTAAGTAATAATTCCAGTTGCTTCATCACATTTTGAGTCAGTGGATAAAAGCAGTTGATGAAAATTCTAACTATACTGACCATATAATTGCTCCAAAAGAATAAATTTAGGATGACCATTTACCAGTGCCCTTTCACCCTTGAATTCCAAATAATTTGGTTTTAGACATTGTACATATGCATTTTAAAAAAAGCACCACAAACCAATCAAATTTCTCTAGTTAGACTGGCTGTGCCTGCAGCCTTACCCAGTTTTCAATATTTCTGCAGCATTTATGTATTCTGTTTCATATTTTCCCCCCTTGGGTGCTAAGATTTATAGCTGTTGTTTCACTTCCACCAAACAGCATATCCATGTCATTCCCATAAACTACTCTAAAATATTGGATGTTGACATCTCTACTGTACAGAATCCCAGTATATTCCTTCCATCTTTCTTTGATCTTCTCTAAATCAGTTACTATCTGTCCACTGATGTCCTTTAAGCATACCAATTTGAGGTTAGAACTTCCTCCTGATTTCAGAGATCCTTTGGAAAACTTTCCTTATTTTTTTTGTTTGTTTCCCTCTTCATCGTCTTTACAGATGTTGTAGTAATATTCCTTGTCTTTTTAAACAGCTCTCTGAAATTCTTTGTTAAGTTTCTTGAAATTTCTGTTCCACCATTTGTTTTGACACTGTTTGTTTTTTTCTCTTTCTTGTTTTTTGGCAGTTTCTTTTCATATTCAGTAACTTCTTTTATTACATTCCACAGTTCCTCCAGATTTATATCAATAAGGTTCAGGACTTCAAAGCAATTCCTGATGTTCTCCTTGAAAATGATAGGTACATGCTCAAAATCGTTTTTCCAAAAACTGGTTGGGTTTATTCTTCCATTTTAGCTTGACTTGGAGCAGTTTGTGATTTGTTCCACAGTCAGCCCCATGTCTTTGCTGAGCTAATTCACCTTATACCAGTAATATAGTCAGTTTGATTTCTTTGTGCTGATTTCTGTCTTATGATGCCCATATATATAGGAGAGGTTTTTGTTATTTGAAGAATGTCTTAGCAACAAAGAAATAATTGGACTGACAGAAACTGCTAAGTTGTTCTCCTGTTTCGTTTCAGTTTTCTAGGCCATACAGACTATAGTTTTCCTCACTATTGCCAACTTTGGCATTCCAGCTTCCAACCACAAGCAGCACATCTTGCTTGCGTGTTTTCTTGATTTCAGATTGAACTTGACCATAAAACTCATTAAATTCCTCTTCTGCATCATTGTTTAATAACCATATTATTAAAAGGTGAAGACTAATTGATATTGTTCAGTCATTGACTGCATTATACTCAAGTACTGTCTTTGCTTTATCCTTCTTATGAAAACAGCACCATTCCTTCTTTGTTTTTCATGCCCTGAGTGGTAAACAGTATGATCTTCTGACTGAAAGAATCCAATTCCTGTCCATTTTAATTCACTGATGCCTAGGATTTAAATGTGTAGTTAGTTCTCTTGTTGAGCTTTCCCATGTTCATGCTTCGTACATTCCCTGTTCCCACTGTAATTCTATCTTTACAGCTTTGGATTTTCTTTTCCTGCATGACAATATTTGCAATTAGACAATGTGAAATTATGTCTTCATTGTTTTCACTAAAGCGATCATCTATTTCTTGCATCTTCCTATATTGCTCCCTGGTACAAATACCTGCTTCTTTCAGCTGGGCATCTGAGATGACCTTCACACCTTAGGTGATCCTGCTAGAAGTATACCCTGCTATAAGTATAAAGTCTTGGGGGAATGTATGAATAGACTTTTAAATCACATATTCAAAACATACTTTTTTCTAAGTAGATCACCAATCATTATTTTCATTCATTGTGATCTCTCTGAAGGGCCCAATCCCTTTTTTGTATTCTCTCACCCCTCCATTCATGCTACCTAAAAGTATTCCACCCACCCCCCCGTTCCAACACTCATCCTTGGTTCTCAGTATTCACTGGTACATAACCTGCAGTAATCATCAATTTATGGATTCCTATCTTTATATACAACCACAACAACCCAGATGATGCCAGTTCATACATGATTGCCCTTTAATTCATAATTAAACATACATCTTCATCAGCTCCACAAGATCACACAGACCATTTGGATCTACATCATTCCCCTTTTTCTTAAGAGACATACAATATACCTATTTTTCTTTCTTTTCATTTGTCAATTCACGTTCTTTGCAGTTTACTCCTCAATTCCAAGTTGCAGTCTTTAATATGCCATGGTTAGATGGCCAATAGATACTGACCTTCATCCCTCTCATGACATTAGACCATGTATGATGCTTTTTAATGAGAAAGGGTGTAGACTGAATTACCAGTATTAATTGTACCCATGTCATATGCACCATTTTCTGCTAATGATAACAGTAATACTGATCGGTTTGGCCATGTTTTGGTGAATATGTCACAAGTGCAACCAAATTCTAGGTTTACTCCAGTGCAAAGTAAGATCTCTAATCTAGATACTGTCTTGCAAGCCACATACAAAGGAATATATAAACACAGATATGCTTTGATTTTATCCATCTAAGCATAATGCAACCCATTGATTTTTTTTTCAATTTTTTCCTCTACTGAATGTACTTAACCTAGTTGAACACAAAATTGGAATGGGAATGGGGAAGATGGGAGCAATTCAGATCCTGCATTAAAAACAATGCAGTTTGAGCAATTAGGGCAGCTCTGGTAAATTAAACACTTACAGAAATCATTGCCCATCTTGAAAGATCTACTTCAGGCATGGAATTTTGATTTTCTAGCACAATATGATTTTGTTTTCTGAGCCCTGTGAATATACAGTAAAATCATTTCCAATGAAATATTATTTAATCAAGAGATTCGCTATAATTCCCCTTTAATTCTAAAACATTTGAAAGATGATTTTAATCCTATGCTTGAATTTGCCATTAGAGATGCCATTCCAAACACTCTTAACCTGGGAATAAGTCCAATTGGAACTTATTTCTGAGTAGAAATGGGTAGGATTTCATTGCAATGTTATTACATTAAAACAGAAATCATCTTTGTCTTTTGAATGAGGACAGCCAAAATAAAAACTTTGAAATAAATGTGGCTTTTATTTGAAGACAAACAGGAACTATTTATGACAGGAATGTGTCTTTATGCAAATCTTCTTGTGGCTGAATAGAATGGAGGGCTACCTATTCCAGAAATTATTTTTTCTTAATATGCTGTGCTGAAATTGTGTTCATTGACTCATCATCCCAGTGGCAGTGCTTCTACCATCAAAGGCTTATCCAGTTGAGATATTCCACAACAAAAGATACAGTGATAATGTTCACTTGACCGTTCTGTGTGCACAATAAAAAGCATAGCAGTGGCACCATCTTTCTGTTAGCTATGAGAATACGTACATTAATAGGTTGTCTATTAATGTTTCTGCACTGCTATCCTTACTGGATTTTAACAGTTTTCCAGTGTTAAGATATTAATACTGGCAAAATCAAAAAACTAGACAGCTACTACCTATCCCAATATTCAGCTGGTTGTCTTTGTGAAAGAAAGTTCTCTCCAGTCTTATGCTGCAATTTTCACTGTGAGACTTCATTATGTTTTGGTTTTTTGTTTTGTTTTTTTGTATTAGATGTTTCAGTTTTGTTTGCTTTGCTATGGAGGAGTGGAACAGTTTAGGTATGGAAGTATATCTTCTATTGTATTCTTTTTTGAACCATGAGCTCAGTACACGTAATGCAAATAGTTCATGGTTCTGTGGCTAAATAACGTTCGATCCATTGGAAGAGAAAAATATCACTCAAAGAGAATGCTGCATAGTTGATCCTGAGGGAATATATTCTGGATTTGGATAATCCATTTCAGCTATAGTAGGCTGGATACACAATCATGTGAGATTTAATTATTCTGTGACTTCCATTTCTTTAGTAAGCATATCACCCACATTGGATAGGAATTTGTACTGTTAAATATAAAGTCATGTTTAATCGCTGATTGCATATGGAGGAGAAAGGCACCAGAGTTTTTCAGTGAAGTCACTGTACACTAAACCAGTAGGCTTCTTATACTTTAGAATGTCATTATCTCACCAAATTTTCAGCAGGAAACCTCATCAAAACATTGTATATTTCAGTCATACATACAACTGAAAGTTATGTATTAACTTACGAATTACTGTCAAATGGTTAGTAGCCTTTCCAAAGGAACAGGATGGTGGAGCAGATTATGAATTATTTTATTGAAAGTTGATTCAACTTTCCAACTGTGGGCATAACTAAAACTGTTTGGTGCATTATTCTTCTTGGTTTCTTCATTAAGTTTCACTAAGTTTCATTTGCAGAATTAGAGAGATGATAAGCAAAATATTTATTTTGCCTTTATTTTTGTATTGTATCAGCCTTGTCTGTGCTTGCACAAATGTTAGTAAATACATTTTGCTTTATAATGGATTTCTCACATTTAATTTGGGAAATGTCCTTAGCAATTTGCCAAATGGTTGTGCCTTTTAAAAAGCAAAAAAAAAAAAAAAAAGTGAACACAATATTGAAATGCTTTTATGACTGGACAGCAAATTTACTTTGACTCCCAATACACTACAGTTTCAAACTTGGGTAGAAATACAGGAAATTGTGCAAAAAGCAGGATCTCCTGGCTAAATCTTAATAAAATGAATAGCTGCTGGGCCTTCATGACCACCATTTATCATAATAATAAATAGATCTTTTTTGGAGTGTTCCAAATATACTGTGTTCATATAGTCTTTATTCCCCAAACCAGCAGTATATCCCAAATTAATTGAAATAATAAACTGCTTAAATAGAAATACATTTTATTTGTAAAATAATACTGTAGACAAAATTGAAGAACCATTTTATAAAAGAAAGAACATTAAAGATACCTTTGAGGAAGGCTAAAATACTTTATGCAGTCTTTTTCCCTGCTACCCCAAAAATATAATTCTTACCATGTTGGTTGAAATAAAGGAAGTCTGCAGACCACCAGAGTCTGTACATGCATATGTGTGTAAACATACAACCCAGAGTTGTCAAGTCTCTTTTAGTCAGAAAAGCAAAGATTTGCTTCAATTGTTCCTCAGGCAACTTGTTGAACTTGGAAATCTGTAAGCCCCAACCTACATTCAGTTACTATTTTGAGAAGTAGTAAACTTGAAAAGTTGTGGATAAATAGCCAAGAAACAATACAGGAGCTAACGTGGTGAATTGGTATCCTGTTCCAACTTTGTATCCAGGAAGACAGGGATTACATAGTTTATTAGTTGGTCCTTCCTACTTTCTGATAGAAGGTTATTGCCCTTCATTAGGATTTAAGTGATATTAAATCCACTGGAATGTTAAGATTTACAAATATTTAATATCAACAGGCCAAAATATTTTAGAATAGCAAAATAAGCCACCTGTAGCATAATCTTAAGCATTTTTTAAAATGTAGAAGTGAGACCCCTGTTTTTGAAGACCTACTTCCAGATAAATTAGCATAAAATTGCAGCAATTACATATTTTAATCCCTATTTTGGCAGATGGAATAAGTTTGAAAGCATTCTGAACCTGCCTGGACATTTATTTTGTAAATGCCAGAGTAATTATGTTTGTTATATTCCAGTTCAAATATATCAAGGAGTGAAGCATAATCTGTTAGAATTATTTCTGCTTCCTTTCTGGACTAGAAAAATATTAAATGGGTGAATATATACTGTTTTGAATTGTTAGGTTTTGACAGATTCTGTA